AGACTAAATAATAGTAAATGAATGTATAACTATCTAGCTAATAGAGGTGAGAAATAGAATAGTAAAAAATAATGCTAAAGAACATAAGAAAGAAAAGAAAAAGAATTATAATAGGTAGGATAAACAGATAGCAAATAGTAAAACAGTAAATTGAAATCCAAATATTTGTAAGTTGTATTAAATGTAAAGGACAAATGCTTCAGTAAAAAAGATGATAGTGTCAAGATGGTTCTAAAGAAAACAAATCTAAATTCTGTTTCCAAGAAATATACTTTAAGTATACAGATACAGGTTGAAACTAAAAAGTTAAACTAATCTAAAAGGTGATATAGTTATGTTAATGTCAGATAAAGTAGACTTAAAGGCAAAAATAAATAAATAAATAAATAATAAAAAGGAAGATTTGAAAATGATAAATGGTTCAGTTCTCAAAGAATATATGGTGTCTGAATTTGTGTCTTTCGTAACATCTCAAAAATATAGTAAAATCAGTTGACTAAACTGAAATAGACAAATCCACAGTCATAATGGGAGATTTAAATACTCCTCTCTCAGTAATGGATAGCAAATGTAGAGAAAAAGAATCAACAAGGAATTAGAAAAATTTGAGCAACATGATTAACAGACTTGACCTGAGGGACACATCACCTAAGTGCCTCAGATTATAGACTTGCATATTCAAAAATTGAAAGCATTGAAATCATATAATATACATTCTTTGATCATAGAGGAATTTAGTTAGAAGTCAATAACAAAAAACTAGGATATCTGTATATGTTTGGAAAGAATACTGATAAATCTAGACTCTGCTTGAATATAATTAAATTTTAATATTTTACTTACAACTGATGTTTGCTTTGTAGCTGTGGATTTCTTCAATCAGATCAACATGCTTTATGGAACAATCACAGATTTCTGTACAGAGGAAAGTTGTCCAGTGATGTCAGCTGGCCCAAAGTAAGATATGGTTCATGTTCAGTTCTCATTTTTACCTTATTTTACAATTCTTAGATAAGAAGGAAGTTTCTGACCATAAAATTTCTGTACTTAGCATCTCCTTCAGTGGTTTACCAATGAGTAATATACTAAGTCCAGATTCCTTAGCATGAGCTTTATGGCCCTTCCTGTGTTTTCCTCTATCCTGCCTTTTCTGTTTACTTGGGTCTCTCCAAACTAGAATACTGGAAACACCTTGCTCCATTACTTATACTCTGAAAATTTGCTTATTCTGTTCTTCTCTTGGTTACTTTTCTTCTTTTCCCATCTCTCTACTATCAGCTTCTGCTAATATTTAAAAAAAATCTTACCCATCTTCAAGGCCCACATCAAATGCTTCCTTCTCCATGAAACTGATTTCTTCAGACTAGATATGCTCTTTCTATTTAACTTTTTTGTCTTCATGATTATGTTTCTTTGTTATATTATACTTATTATATTTATACATATCTTTTTTAACCTGTTAATTCATTCTTTTAAGTCCCTTTTAGTGTAAGAGCAGTGCCTACCGTCTAGTTACCACTCAATAAATGTTGCTTGGATCAATACATTTTGAAACTGGCTTTTGTTATTACTGTGGCTGATAGTAATGATGGCAGCTATCATTTATTCACTGCTACCTAAATGTAAGGCCTTTATACATTTATTTATACAGCAACCCAATTTGATACAAAAACTTGTTATCCTCATTTTCTAGAAAAAGAAATTGAGCTTGAGAAAGGTTAAGTAACATGCCCAAGGTCCTGTTACATAGAAACAGGCAGAACCAGGACTGAAATCTGGGTCTCTCTGACTGTAATGCCTGTACTCTTAATTGCTACATTTTTTAAGAAATATTAATTGATACGTATAAGACACATAGAGGGGTTTTATTTTTAGTGCCAACTTTATTTTATAAAGTGTGTTCTCTCTTCCCAGTTATATATATACAGGGTGTAAATATCGAAACAAAACAAACTGTCCAAACTTACTAGTGCTTAGGAATATTATCATTATAGGCCGTGACCTTAGATTGCTAATCACTTATTGTACACATGCTTTCATTGCTCAGAGTATTTTTGCTAACTTTTAAATTGCAGTGTCAGTGTCAGATCTCTAGCTACCTAAGAGATAGAATTTTTTTTACTTCATAGTCATTATTTATTGAACAAATTTACACAGTGAACAAAGTATCACCTAGAGTTGTCTACCTTATTCCTCAAATTGACTCCAAGTGAGTTTAGATATTTCTCAGAATCCAGTCCTTTTAAAAAAATCGACAGCTTGCCATTATCGAAGATGTTTAAAATAATATGCTTTGAACATTTCCTAATGTAATTTTGTTTGGGGAAAAAAACATTTCAAACTATTTAAAACTTTGAAACTTCAGAATAATTTTAAGTGTACAGAATAGTTGCCAAAATAGCACAGAGACCTCCCATATCTCTTTTACCTAGATTCCCCAGTTATTAACATTTTACTGCATTTGTTTCATCACCCACTCTCTATACTCATTAATATTTTTTTCTGAACCTTTTTAGCAAATTGTAGACATTAGGCTCCTTTACTCTTACATATTCAGCTGTATAGTTTCCAAAAACAAGGATGCTTTTCTACATAACCAGCATACAAATCTTCAACACCCTTTCTCCAATTCATAGACACCATTTCCATTGCAGCAGCTGTCCCAGCAACATTTGTTTTTCATTTCCAGTCCAGGATCCTATCTAGGAATATGTATTGCACTTATTTGACTTACCTCTTCACATACCTTCAATCTGGAATAGCTCTTCAGTCTTTCCCTGAATTGGCCTTTGTGCATAAAAAAGTTAACATAGCAGGCCTGATTACTGTTTCTTGAAAGGCCTGTAGACAAAGTTGGAGATTGGATGGCATCAGGGAACTTGGATTTCTGAAGGGTTCCCACCACCCTAACTGCTAAGAGTAGCTCTCTGTGCCTAAACTGGACAAGTGATATGTCTTATGCTTTCCTTCTGGGAGTCTGGAATTTTAATATGTGCCTACTTGACCATCTCTTAATAAAAAGCTAGACACTGAATCTCTAAAGAGCTTCTTCCCTGGTAGACAGTATTTGGCATGTGTTATTATGACAATCCTGGGGGAATAAGGGTGGCTTGTGTGACTTCACTGGGAGAGGACTCTTGGAAGCTTACTCCTAGTTTCCTCTGGACTTTGTCCCATTTGCTTTTCCCTTTGCTGATTTTGGTTTGTGTTCTTTTACTATAGTAAATCATACCTGTGAGTACAACTGTATGCTGAGTTCTGTAAGTCTTCTTAGAAATCAATGAATGCAGTGTGGCCTTGGGGACCCCAACACACACTGTCTAATGTTTCCTTATGACCAGATTCAGGCCATGCAATCTTAGTAAGGAACTCACAGAAATGATACTTTCTTTTTCTTAATGGGTCATATCAGGAGACACACAATGTCGACCATCCCATCACTGGTGATGTTAACCCTGATTACCTTATCGTGTTAGTGTCTGCAAGGTTTCTCCACCTCTCAAATATGTCATTTTCCTTTGTAATTGACTAGTATTTTATAGGGAGGTTTTCTGATATTACACCAATATCTCATTCCTGTGAACTAGGCAGAATTACTGCCACTTAGAATAGTGCTGTGATCACTTTCCCCACAGAAACTTTATCTAAATAGCTGGTATAGGAGGCATATACCTAATTCTTCAAAAGTAACTGGCACAGGATCTCTATAAAGATACTACAAAAACAAAATGTGATTTTCCTTTCCTGTTTCCTTCCTTCCTCCCTCCCTCCCAACTTCCTTTCTTCTCTTTTTTCTTTCTTCTTCCTTACCTCCCTCCTCTTTATCTTTCTACTTTTCCTTCTATCTTTTCTCCCTTCCTTCCTTTTTCTTCGAGAGTCTTAACTTTTGCCCCATCATTAGTGCTAAGAAGATGCAGTTGTCATGGTTTACCATCTTTACCAGCAAATGCTCAGGATTATACCAAGGAGAGACATTTGTTAGTAGCTTAGCACTCAACTCCTTGCAAAGTGGTATTGAGTGATGGCTCATAGGGTTTTGTTCTCAGTTACTGCTTATTATTATTATTAACCAAGAAATGATGAATGTTTTGTAGTTTCAGTTTATAAGCTCATACCATGATGACAGAACTAAATTTCAAAGAGAATGGTCTTTCAAAGGTGGAATAAAATAATCAATGGGGGCAAAATAGAGTTATAAGTGAAGTCATCTTATGTATAAACATGACGAAATAAAAAGAAAGGAACAGAGAATTATAGTTATAAACTCAAGTATAAGCAATATAGAATTTTTATTTTTCAAACAAATGAAGCCTAAAGTTAGCAGAAGGATAGAAATAATCAAAATTAGAGAAGAAATAAATGAAATTGAAAACAAACAAAAAAAAACAATAGAAAAAATAAATACAACAAAGAGCTGGTTCTTTGAGAAGGTTAATAAAATTGACAAACCCCTGGCTAGACTCACTAAAGAAAAAGAAAGGACACAAACAATCCGGGATGAAAGGGGAAATTACAACTGACATTGCAGAAATACAAAGGATCATGAAAGAATACTATCAAAAAGTATATAACACCAAATTCAATAACCGAGAAGAAATAGACCAGTACTTAGAAAAATACAGTCTTCCTAGACTGAATCAAGAAGATCTGGAAAATCTAAATAGACTGATCAGCAGTATGGAAATTGAAACAATCATCAAAAACCTACCAAAAAGTAAAAGTCCAGGACCAGATGGCTTCACCGGTGAATTCTACCAAACATTCAATGAATATTTAATACCTATTCTCCTCAGACTCTTCCAAGAAATCGAAGAGGAGGCAATACTTCCCAACTCATTTTATGAGACCATTATTGCCTTGATACCAAAACCTGGTGAAGATAACACAAAAAAAGAAAACTATAGACAAATATCTTTCATGAACACAGATGCAAAAATCCTAAATAAGATACTAGCGAACCGAATACAGTAACATAATAAAAAGATTATACACCGATTAAGTGGGCTTCATCCCAGGGGCACAGGGATGATTCAACATACACAAATCGATTAATGTGATATACCATGTAAACAAAGAAATCAAAGAGGAGGTAATACTTCCCAACTCATTTTATGAGGCCATTATTACCTTGATACCAAAACCTGGTGAAGATAACACAAAAAAAGAAAACTACAGACAAATATCTTTCATGAACACAGAAAGAGAAAGGGCACAGGGATGATTCAATATACACAAATCAATTAATGTGATATACCATGTAAACAAATTAAAAAATAAGAATCATATGATCATATCAATAGATGCAGAAAAAGCCTTCAACAAGATACAGTATCCCTTTATGATCAAAACACTTAACAAAATCGATATAGAAGCAAAGTACATTAACATAATAAAGGCCATATATGACAAACCCTCAGCCAACATTATACTTAATGGTGAAAAACTAAAAACCTTCCAAGATCAAGAACAAGGCAAGGCTGTCCACTATCGCCACTGGTATTCAATATAACATTGGAGGTCCTAGCGAGTGTCGTCAGGCAAGAGAAAGAAGAAAGATATAAAAGGCATCAAAATAGGAAACGAAGAAGTCAAACTGTCACTATTTGCGGATGACATGATTCTCTATATAGAAAACCCTAAAGACTCCACCAGAACACTACTAGAAACAATAAGCAAATAGAGTAAAGCCTCTGGATACAAAATCAATGTTCAAAATTCCATAGCGTTCCTATACTCTAACAATGAAGCGTCAGAAGAAGTGGAAAAAATAATTCCTTTAGCAGTTGCAACAAAAAGAATAAAATGCTTAGGAATAAATTTAACAAAACATTTGAAAGACCTATATAATGAAAACCACAAGACCCTATTAAAAGAAATCAAAGAAGATACAAAGAAATGGGAAGATATTCTGTGTTCTTAGATTGGAAGAATCAACATAGTTAAAATGACCATATTACCTAAAGCATTATACAGATTTAATGTGATCCCCATCAAAATCGCATTGGCATTTTTTAAAGAAATAGAACAAAAAAATCATCAGATTTGTATGGAAGCCCAAAAGATCCTGAATCGCCAAAGCCATCCTGAGAAAAAAGAATGAGGCTGGAGGCATCACTCTGCCTGACTTCAAATTATACTACAGCGACAGTCACCAAAACCACATGATATTGGCAGCAAAACAGACACATGAACGAGAGGAACAGAATCGAGAGTCCAGAAGTAAACCCATATTTATATTGGCAGATAATTTTTGACAAAAATGCCAGAAACATACAGTAGAGAAAGGAAAGCCTCTTCATTAATGGTGCTTGGGAATTGGAAAGCCACTTGCAAAAGAATGAAATTAGACTGTTGTCTCTCACCACACCAGAATTAACTGAAAATGGATTAAGGACCTGAGTATAAAACCTGACACAATAAAATGAATAGAAGAAAACACAGGAACAAAACTCAAGGACCTTGGACTTAAAGAAGATTTTATGAATTTGACCTGAAAGGCAAGGGAAGTAAAAGCAAAAATAAATGAATGGGACTATATCAAACTAAAAAGCTTCTGCTCAGCAAAAGAAATCGTCAGCAAGGTAAAGAGACAACCATCTCAGTGGGAAAATATATTTGCAAACAACACCTCTAATAAGGGCCTAATATCCAAAATATACAAAGAACTCATACGACTGAATAACAACAAAAAAAACCAAATGATCCAATAAAAAAATGGGCAGAGGACCTGAACAGACACTTCTCCCCAGGGGATATAAAAATGACCAAAAAATATATGAAAAGATGCTCAACATCGTTAGCTATTAGAGAAATGCAAATCAGAACCATCTGTTAGAATAGCTATAATCAACAGGACAAGTAATAACAAATGTTGGAGAGGATGTGGAGAAATAGGAACCCTCATACACTGCTGCGGAGACTGCAAATTGGTACGGCCACTGTGGAAAGCGGTATGGAGGTTCCTCAAAAAACTAAGAATTGACCTACCATATGATCCAGCAATCCCTCTACTAAGTATTTACCCCAAAGACTTGAAAACTCATATTCGAAAAGATATTTGCACACCGATGTTCATAGCAGCATTATTCACAGTGGCCAGGACTTGGAAGCAACCGGTGTCCTACGATAGATGATTGGCTGTGGTACATATGTACAATGGAATATTACTCAGCCATAAGAAGAGATGAAATACTGCCATTTGCGACAACAGGGATGGACCTCAAGATAATCATGCTAAGCT